GGAAATGTGCAAGGTTGCGGAATCAAGGAATTGACTATTGACTTTTCCATATGTATTCAATGGGAAATTTCTTGTTTTCATACTTTGTCCCAGCATACAAAAGGATGTTGATAGCAGATGATGTCCAAAAATGACAGAAAAGGAAAAGAAAAAGTTTAGTTGTAGTAGAATTCAAAATATAAATTAATCCACAATGTCTTTTTTATTAGCACTACAAATATTATTTGAGTAGTTACGGGTTACATGTAGTCTCTTATAATAATTATATCATACAATCATAACATGGGTTGGCGATATTTCGGGGCAAATTTTTCTCAAATGCTAAGATTATCCTCAATCAATCAACTCTAATTTCTCTCAATTACTTCTCTTCTTCTTCTTCTTCTTCTTCTTCTTCTTCTTCTTCTCCTCTCTCTCTCTCTCTCTCACTGACTTTAATTCATCAATTATATTCATGATTTACGAAATTGGTCTTGACTTTAATAGTTTCTCATATACTGATTCTACATGCTCTTATATTTTTTGCATTTTTAAATTGCTACCCAAAATGTTCTTTTTTCAAACACAGCATAATTTAAGCCAAAGTAAATAATAGTTTAACTTGAAAATAATCTCAAAAATAACCTTACTTTCCCTTCAATATTCATGGGATATATAAAGTAATGTAATTTAAAATTACTTTCATCTAATTTTTAGACAATATGAATACTTGATAGAAATCAAGTCTCGCATGACAAATATGAATACTTGATAAAAGATAAAAGTTAAGATTTACATGACAAGTATAAAAGAGAAAAAGATGGTAAAATTTTTAACATTATTAGTTGCTTATAGGCATGATAAACAAGCAGAATTCAAAGAAAAAAAATGCATTTTTTAATAGTGTAAGCAAAATAATGCATGTTGCATGTCAAAAAATTTTGATGCTAAAGTATTGAGTTACAATGACATCATTATAATAATTATTTTAAGTTCAAATGAAATTTGTTAGAGTTAAATGAAATTCTATTTGCAAAAAATGAATAAATGAAAGTTTTAGAATCGAATAAAAAAGCAAGAGTACATAGAACTAAAAAGATGTAAGAAAAGATTAAGGCAAAAACTACGTTATTTACTTATAAAATAATAGATCTATTAGCGTGTGAGTGAGAAAGAGAGAAATGAGAATAATAGGAAAAAGAGTAAGCGAACCTAACTGAAAACACTTAATTAGAGGGAGAAAAGAGGAGTAATTATTTCATAATGGATCTAGGAAAATCAATCAACAAGTATAAAGTTGATTGATTGAAGATAATTTTGATATTTGAGCAAAAAATGCTCTCGAAGAAAGATAATTGCTCTGGCAACATCATTTGCCCTACAATGACATGAAGCAAGTGATAACATATAGTCGGTGTAGTCTATTGGAAACAATAATTCTCGCTTTAGTCATCCAGAATGACTTACATAGTTTGGTTTGGTGCAATCTATAAATTAATCTTGTGTAGAATCCCAAAAGATCTTAAATCCTTCAACTTACTTCAATTGTAGCAATTTTTTTATGAAACTTAAAATAAAATTGAATGAATCACAAATTACAATTTGACTACAAAATTCATTAGAACGAAAGTTTATGCCAATTATTTTTGTTAGAACAATAATAAACTCAAAAATTTTTAAGCTTCTTCCATGGATTGGAACCCAAAAGAAGAAAAAAAAAAAAAAGGAAAAGAGGTTGAGTTTTGCCGGCATATAATGATAGGAAGGCTATTTTTTGGTTACAAATTGGAAGGCTATTTCAAACAAATTATATTTCATCTGTTCTGCATGTTAAAACTTTACAGCTTTCAAGGGTTCATTACGTCTTAATTCTTTTTATGTGATTTTTATGTCCCAATTCTCTCTTTGTGGTATGGTTTTGGGCAGTGGACCAAAAATGACCATTTTGTTTTGCCAAAAACAAATTTAATCCCTTTTACGGAAAATGATCCAATTTTGCTCTCCCTTACATTTTCAGCAAAACTAAATCGAACATTCACTAAACCACTATGACCTTTATAGCATTTAACCCAACTAAATACTTTACAATTTTTCACCGTCGATGACAAAAAAAGACTCACCTTATAATCTTTATTTTTTTTTAAAGTTGATTGTTGACTAGATTTTTAGAGGTGCTAAAAAATTGCCCGATTTCATGCATTATAATAACATTTAAAAATTTAATGTTATTGTGGAAATCCATTATTTAACAGAAGATAAACAATATGATGATGTTTAGGCACCATTCTGAAAGAAATTCATGCTTCTGATATTACTTACAGAAATTTAAGTATTGAGTAAAAGATGAATGGGTGAGATGCTTATTCTTCAAGGCTATTACAGTAATAGATCCTTAGCATTCTGACAAAAGATCAAAAATATATTATTATCAGAATGCTAAAAGATCAAAAGTTGAATGCAATGTCCAAAAGAATACTTCATGTGTACAGTCTAAATATGTGGCAATAATTGTGTAAATGTTGTGGACTTCTCAAGCGGTGTTTTGCACCGAACAGGTTTGGAGCTCATTCAAACCAGAGAGCAGACCGGTCAACAATGTTATTAACATTGAATAGAGTATTTTTCAAAACTGCCAAGTGTGATGTGGGGTATATTTGCTATGTGAATAACATAAATTCAAAGTGTAGCTGAAGACTTGAAAAGAATTTGTTATTAACTGTTCCAATTCACTGGAAAAACAATTCTAATTCTAGCCACTACAAATATACCAAGTACACCTAATAAAATGATTATTTCACTCCATTTTAAGATAAAATGATTATTTCAATTTTTTTGACACCATATTATAATTTATTTATATAGCAACTTACATCATATAATATGATTCATATTCCAACTCATTTATACTCAAAGACAAACTTGTTTGGAATAGAAATTAGTGAGGCCACATCCACACCACTAGAAACATTTGCTGTTATGGCAGCTCAAGCTATCATTACTCGTCCAATTGATGACGTTTCTACTCTAGTGATCTATTGAAAGCATGATCCATTCTAACATTAGGGTATGTAATAAGGACACTTTCAAACGTCCCAATTAGGGGTGCAAACGAGTCGAGTCGAGTCGAATTTTGGTCTAATTGAGCCGAGCCTCCAGTTAATTTTGTGAAACTCAAACTTGAGCTCGAGCTAGACGAGCTCAAAATGTCCGGCTCGAGCTTAAAAAATAAAAAAATAATAATAAATTTATTTTTAAAAAATAAAACATAATTATTCATTTTTAAAAATGAATAAAATAATAATTTTTTAACAAATAATAAAATATTAGAGATATATGTGTAATTTTACTATTAAAATAAAAAATATATATATAATTGAGCTTGCGAGCCAACGAGTTTAATGTTTTTGAACTCGAACTCGAACTCGAGTTCGACTTAATTAGCTCGAGCTCGATATTGACCGAGTTCGAGTCGAGCTCGTACTCGAGCGGCTCGATTCGTTAATACCCCTAGTCCCAATGAGTAACTCTATTGATAATTAGAAGCATCATTAGTTTTATCAATTATGACACTTGCAAATGTCAAGAAAGAGGTGTTAGCCACTGACATGAGCCGCCACGCAATAAGTTGCCACCACCAGCCTTTATTTTTCACACTGGTATCTATTAAGTACAATTGGATGGTGAAACGATAAAAGTTACAAGGTAGATCATTCCGTAGGTTGTTTCCAACAGGCAACAGGCATCCATGTTAGTAACCATTACTATTTCCGTCTTTTCATCATTAGTCTCGTGTTTTCACCTTTTAATCTTGTCCTAACAAAGAAGCAACACTTCAAAGGCTAACATATAATAAAAGCAACTTGATAATTTTTCTCATTTGAAAAGGATTTTTGTACCGGGTACCCATTATTGGAAACTCATTCGCATATCTAAAATTCATCTAATATACCATGTATATTCACATGCTAGCGATTATTATCCTCCTTTACATTTATATACTTCCCTTATTTAATTTTACCTATCCTCTCTTATCTTTATTTATTTATACTAATCAATGTTACATCTTCAAAAATATGGTACCTGAAATATATTTAATGTTATGCAACGGACACCTATTAAACAGACCCAGTTAAAAAAAGCAACCTTTTACAAATACTTTTGCATTCCTAAGGAGCTACTTGTCAAGTTCCAAATTGAATATTTTTCTTAATAGAGGAAGATTCTAAGTCAAGAGCTTCAATGATAATCACTATTTCACTGAAACCCATGTAGTGTTTGGCAACTAAAATTCAGTTTGACTCTCTCCATTTCCTCCAGTATTTTTTAGCTTTCTTACTCTTAATTTAAGATACGAGACAAATAAATAAGTAAACTTTAAATCCCTATTAAAAAATAATCAATTACAAAATCCAAAGAATAAGCGTATGTTATATTTATTTAGATTTACATGTATGGATTGCAATTTTTTTGAAAAAAAAAATTGTTACGTTTTCCATGATCAAATTTTTTAATCACCTTTTTACCTCACATACATCAAATCGTTACAGTAATGTTTTTATGAAAAGCTCTCGAAAATAGGAATCCAAACGAGAGTGAATTTAAAACTCGTAGGATAAAACCTACTTACCAAATATCCCTTAAACTTTAAATAGTTATTTTTTTGAAGGATAAAACTTCAAATACTTAATGCAAGAAACATTTGGGGTCTATCCTGTTGGTCAATTGAAATGTGAGGCAAAAAGTGGAGCTGTGTGGAATGGATCCTTTTACCTGTATACCGTCTCCAAATATCTAGCAATAATTGTGTAAAAGATGTCGACTACAATACAATATGTAAAGTAAGTCGTCAAAAACTGTAAATCGAGCTCAAAGAGTCAAGACCCAGTAGGAGTAGTACTAAGTATGCATTCCCGTTCCCCTAAGTTTAAAGGAAAAAAATCCTTTCCAAGTCCTTCTCATTAATATTATTGTATTCTATCCTTGCACCATTTTTTTTCCCATACTCCTTGTACCTCAAAAAACAAAAACAATGGCTGAATTGTTTGTTCCAAAGATAATAGATGAATTGGGTGATGTTGTTGTGAACCAGCTCGGGGAGAAGATTAACCTGGTGATGGGGGTTGAAGAGGAGGTGGCAAATATCAAAAGAAAGTTAGAAACGATTCAAAGTGTGCTGCATGATGCAGAGAGACGAAGGCAGAAGGAGAAACCGGTCGCAAAGTGGCTAGAAGAGCTTGAAGACATAACATATGAGATGGATGATGTCCTGGACGAATGGAACATCAAGATTCAGAAACCAAAATATGAGGGAACTCGTCATTGCGGAACAAGGTTCGTTCCTTTATCCCATCCTGTTGTTCATGTCTTAAACAACTTCCTGTGCGTAGTGATATTGCTTCGAAGATAAAGAAAATAAACAGAAGGCTAGAATTAACTTTGGAAAAGGCACGCCAGTTCGAATTTATTTCAAGTGGGGGGATTCCTGATTCTCAAGATTTTCAGCGAATTATGACTACCTCAATCATAGATGAATCAGGGATCTATGGTCGAGAATCTGATAAGGATGCTTTACTTGACCAAATATTGTCTGAGACTAGTAGTAGTCAAGGAAGAGATGGAGTTCAAATTATCTCTGTAGTAGGGGCCGGGGGTAGTGGAAATACCACACTTGCCCAGCTGCTCTTCAATAATGATGAAGTGAAGAATCACTTTGATTTTAGAAATTGGATCTGTGTATCGGATCCTTTCGACCAAAAAAGGATCGCAAAAGCTATCCTTGAGAGTGCCGGAAGAGGTTCTCATTTCATGTTAGAGTTGGATTCGTTGATCCGACTTATAAAAGAAACTTTTTCTGGTAAGAGATTCCTGCTTGTCCTAGATGATGTCTGGACAGAGGATGACTCAAAGTGGAAACCTTTCCAAGACTCTCTCAAGGATGGGGCTCCCGGAAGTGTAATATAGGTGACAACAAGGAGTCATAGAGTGGCCACAGTGGTGGGAACAACTCATACTCACCAAATGACCCGAATGTCTGACTCTGATTGTTGGCTAATAATGCAAAGGATAGCATTTGCTAGAAAATCAGGGGACTTATGCAAGAAAGTGGAAAGAATTGGGTTAAAAATTGCAGAAAAATGCAAAAGGTTGCCACTTGCTGCAAAGACTATGGGAAGCTTGTTACGGTTCAAAGATACCGTACAACAATGGCAGAATGTTTTGGACAGTGAGATATGGCAATTGAAGGAAGCAGCTGTGAGCCTTTTTCCTCATTTGTACTTAAGTTACAATGAATTACCCCCAGAGTTGAAACGTTGCTTCTCATATTGTGCTGTCTTTCCCAAAGATTTTGAGATAAATGTAGAAGAGCTTATTAGGTTGTGGATAGCACAAGGTTATGTTCGTCCAAATCGAAGAGGTGAGCGCTTGGAGCTGGTGGGCCTTGAGTACTTCAACAATTTGGCAATGCGTTCCTTTTTTCAAGAATTACAAGAAGTTGAGGGGTACTATGGGTTTCATGAATATATGAAGTGCAAGATGCATGACATAGTGCATGATTTTGCACAATTTCTCACAAAAAAGGAATGTCATGTACTTCATGGAATTGATTATGAACAAGGCACTGGAAGAAATTTATCGACTGAAAGAGCCCGTCATCTAACATGGCTAGGCACTGAGAGTGCGTTTAGTTCTCTAGTCATTGATTTTGGAAGGCTCAGGAGCTTTTTTGCTTTTTCACATGGAAGAGTAGCTCCCCAAGGCTCAGCACGTCATCTGTTTTGCAGTTTGAATTGTGTGAGGACTCTGACTTTAAGTTGTTGTGGGCTACATGAAGTCCCAGCCGAGATTGGAAGTTTGAATCATCTCCGGCACTTGGACTTAAGTTGGAATCTTTTTGAGATACTGCCAGAAGCTATATGTGATCTATATTATCTGGAAACTTTTGATATCAGTAACTGTGGAGATCTTTCGTGCCTTCCCCAAAGGATTGAATGCCTTGTACACTTGAGGCACCTTTTCAATCTTGGGACTCTTAAATTACTTCAAATTCCACAAGGACTCGGGAAGCTGACTTCACTTTGTACGTTAACTCAGTTCAATGCCAGGAGCAACTCCGATGATTTGGCAATTCTGAAGTACCTAAACCAATTGGAAAGATTGCACATTGATATTTATGGAGAAGTAGATTTTGGGAGTGCAGAACTTGGAAAGAAAATTTACCTGCATGAAATGTATTTGTGGTTTAACCCTGGAGTCCACTTTATGGAAACTCCAAGTTGCATTAAAAGCATGGAATTGCCTCCAAACTTGCAACAACTTGCGCTGGATATGTATCCAGGAAACCAGTTACCAAGTTGGCTTGTGACGAAGTCTCTCGTCAATAACTTGACGAAGCTAATTATCAATGGGCTGGGCCGCGCAATGTCTCATCCTTGACTGACTTGTGGAAGCTGTCATCCCTAGAAGAGCTTAGGCTCAATAGAGTGGAAAAGCTGGAATGTTTGGGCAAGGAATTCTTCGGAATCACAATAGCACTGCATGAGAATAGTCATGATACCTTTGGTACATTGTCAAACTCTGAGACATCATCTTCAGCTGAAGCAGCAGCATTTCCCAATTTGAGAAAATTACATTTTGAATGCTGCCCAAATTGGACAAATTGGGAAGACTTAAGTGAAGATGATGAAAAAGTTGCTGTCTCTATCATGCCACGCTTGGAGGAGCTACATATTGAGTCCTGTAAAAAGTTTGAGACTTTGCCACATCGCATCCTTCGAAAGATATCATCTTTCAAAAGTTTGAAAGTTCTGAGTTGTAACAAGTTGAGTGATTGTTACTCCGATAAAATAGGAGACAACTGGATGAAAATATCACGCATTTCTCAAGTTGACATATCCTAATATCTGCTCAAGTATGATTATTCACACATTTTTTTTATGCATCTATCATCTTTGAAGTTAAATAATTACTGCTTATAGATTACAACAAACTAAGGCCTACTTTGTGGAATGACATGAACTTAATAACAAATCAAGTGTTCATATATATAATGAAAATATGAAATGATGATGCATCTGAGAAAATGGCCTGTTTAACTAAATATGATTTGAGATGCACAACTTCTGATGTAATGTTGACGCATACAAGAAAAAATTGACTTTTGCAAAATTTCATCAAAACTTTGGCCCACCTGAAGAATTCAGTAGAATAGTAGCCCTAACTTTCTTTTGCTTCAAACAAAAAAGTAATAAATAATTTGCATATAAATCAAGTGGAAATATTCATTAATACTTTATAGTGGATTTTTTTTTATTGAGAGGATGTATGACATTAACTGGTAAATATAGCACTAAATTTCTAACAATATCCAACTTTAAATTCTTGAATTTGGAACTCCATTTATATCTTGTCTTTTTAATTTTTATCCTTTTAATTTTTGGGTTTTGTCCTTTATTTTCCAGGTAATACTCATTGATGGCTCTAACTGAAGCTACAGCAGAAGGCATTGGGGAATCAATCTCTATATCAACTTGTAGTTAGGCGATGTGAATAAGTTGAAAAGTCACATCCACATGCTTTGTTTAGAATCATTTGTTGAAAGCATATGTAACTTCAACAATTTCTCAGCTCTTATTTCTTTAAATTATTAAGTATAAAAAATTCACTGGCCTCCACTTCCAGCATTGAGAGTGAGATGTTTTTTTTGTACTTCTTTATTTTTATGTAGCTCAACTGAAGACTTCGAATCTTAAAAAAGAAAAGAAGATGGTTTAAGTTTTGAAGCAAGGACCTCATAACTACGTGACTAATGTTCCTACCAATTAAATTAAGAAGATGATTTAAGTTTCAAAGCAAGGACCTCATAATCACTGGATGTCTCTACTAGTTAAATTAGGATTTGAGGACATTTTTTTTCTCCTAGCACTAGGGGGATAGGATTTAACAAATAAGGAGGAAAATAGGAAATTTGAATTTAAAACCTTTAAATCTTGAAAAGTCAACCTCTGCTACTTGGACTTGTGGAAACCTATTTAAACTTACTATCAAATATGTATGCATTTGTTCTATTGTTAGTATTTGTGTTTTATCCACCCATGAATATTATTGTCATGCCTTGTGATTTTTTTTATATATAAAAGTACACACAATAATACTCATTCACTGAAAATACTAAGAACTACTTCAAATTTAATTAGGTTATTGTATCATACATTGTGACTTATAAACCAAGTTGAAAATCCATAATAAATGCAATCAATGATATATTATCTTAATTACTTTGCTATATCAAAATGATACGAGTACTACGACAAAATCTATGAAAAGATACATGAATCGTTCTGACATAGTTGCAAAAATCAATTTGGCTGCATCAAAATGGTACAAGTACTACAACAAAATTTGTGAAAGGATACATAAAAGGCCTGCGTAATAGAGAAAGATCACACGAGACCAGATAAAACCCACTAAAAACAGTCACCAATAGTTGAAAGGAGAGCTAAAGTTATCCCTTCCTCCATCTTGACCAAACTGACAAGGAAGATAGATACAAAAAATATTATCACTAAATAAATTTGAAAAAAACAAAAATATAAATTTAATGTGTTTTATCTTTGTAATGCACTAATAACAATCCTTATTTTGTTGGAGACTTGGAGAGCTATGTTTCCATTATTTAAATAGATAACTCTAGTTTTGATCCAATGGTTAAGATTCATTTCAAGGCAATATAATTTTTTGGGCATTAATCTCAGTCTTTCCAAAAGGCTTTAGGCACTGAGTTTATACTCCATTCCATTCAATCCTTAGCAAACTGAAAGGTGGAGGCGTGGACTGGGCAAAAGTGAAATTTCTCACAAAATCAGCTAATTTAAAAAAAAAATACAAACAAAGCTTGTGAACTTTGCAACCAAGCTTCCATAAGTCAATGATAGGGTGTGAAATTGTCATTCAATTTATGATTATTTTCCCTTTTATTTTAGCCAAATATTGTATTAATTGATAGATTCTACTTATATTTGGTTAATGATGCTAATTGTAGGAAAATAACTAAAACATGATTAAAATGGGCAATTTTCAGCTAATTTGATGGTCGCACATTCGGGACCTACATTCAAATCCAAAAGATTCGGGAATTTATCGCGCACGAAGATCTCCTAATTAGAGTCAAATATAGACATCTTTAGAGGAAGATTAGGAAATTACTATTTTTCTTAGATATTTTATTAGAGAATAATTAGTATTAGTTGGAGAAGTTTCCTTTTGCAATCAGAATTCTATTTTTGGTTGGCCAATGAACGGCCGAACTATTAGGACTTTGATAGGAAACGAAAAAGGAAAGGAAGCCGGATCCCGCATGATGAATACTTGGAGGGGAGCTGCAGGGATCTCCCTCTTCAGACTTTTGTTTTCCCTAGTAATTCTCTTATCAAAGACTGATGCGGCTGGCTTTGGAAGCAATGTGCAACTAAGTTTCTCTTCTAGTCGAAGGCCAACTTGAAGGCGTGATTCCAAACATCTATGGGATCGAATTAATTTTATATATTATTTTTATGAATTGGTATTCATACGTTTTCTGATTTAATTTCTTATGATTGTTTTGTTATTTGAAATGTCAAGAACTCGATATTTGAATTAACCTAATAATCTATTGTCAGATTAATTGATTGAATCCATAATTGTTTAATCTATTAATACCAATGGTGACTAGCGTGATTGGTCCCATATTAGGGAAATGTATGATCTAACTTAAACAAACCCTCGTAGCGTGTTTGTTGATTAGGATTGGGCTTTTCTAATTCTTAATAAAATCGAAGAATTAAATCCTACAATCGTAGTTAGGGTTAATTATTGGTTAGAAAAATAATTAACGCTCGTACCTTGACCATCGAAAAAGTAACGAAAAGTTGGTTATGGGTCCAAGTTATTAAACCATTCTTTTCTTTTTTACACTTCTGACGTGGGATAGGAGCCTCACAGAAATAGAAGAAAATGTTTTTTGTATAGGGAGTAAATGATTTAACGTTTCATTGTCATAATGTGGCAAATCATTTCTAGAGTTAGTGTGGAAGCATCATATTTGAGTGTTCTTCGTTTCATGTGGTTCTACTTCATACAAATTGAATATTTAAAACCTCCCTTGGTTCTTATTGTCACGTTAAGTTAATTCCTAAACTAATTAACGTTGTCTTCGTGTCATTTAGCATCGAGTGCTTTACTGCTCAGGTATCATTCGGAGTTCAATATCAATTGCAGTGAATTTCTTCTTGGAAGTCGTATTTGGTATTGTTATATCATTTTTCATTTTCAGTTTTTAACCATATTATTCTTGACAATTGACAATAAATTCGAGTAGGGCTCTTAAGTTTTTAATTCTATCATACTAGGTGAATAACTTTATAGATGTGAGTACTTGTATATATGAATAATTTGGATACCTTAATGTGTGTGTGCGCGTTTATATATAAAGTTTTTTTGGTCTTTGAAGTCTTAACCATTAAATTCAGAAATAAAATATGTAGTCACTATTAAATGAGCATTTCTTTTTTAAGTAACTTGAGAAAAATGAATCCAAGTCTTTGATTATTATCCAACACAAGAAGCCTCATTTCCGGATTTCAACATTCACAGCACACAAAAAGAAAAGGTAAAATCATGCATTAATACAATTCATTAGTAACTTAGACAAGGTACATGCCCTTATAAAAATAGAGACATCTGAGGAGCAAAAATCACCTATTTAAATCTAGCTATTGCTTTGTAAGACCACTGAACTTTGACATACTCAGACAAGGGTATATCAATTCTGCAATTAGACACCACACGCAAGTGCCAGCTTTATGGCCTGAGATATGAGAAGCCAGATTCAATGCTTCATCATACACAACTATACAACTGCATCACATTGAACCCTTTTGAGATTCTAACACTGTCTTTGCAGCTTCTTTGACCATTTGTCCTCTCACATAATGTTTTCGACACACGGGCATGTACACTTCAGCCCCACCGATTAGTTCTGTTTCAGTCTCCTCTTGTCTTTCTCAATGTAAAGAAAGCTTGTCTACCACAGAGCTCACACCGAGCATTTAACTTGGTTACAGAGTCCGCAAGGGGTATAACTTGAATCACAGACCCAAAACTTCTCCTGAACAACAAAAGAGGGGAGGTCAGCAAAGGATGAAACTTCAAACCATCAGAAAATCAAATTTCAACATGTTTAAATAATACCCGAATCCATAAGAAAGCGAAAGCATCCGCCAAATCCATGTTGTCCATATCCAGATATCAAGTAGACCATGAAACAACATTTCTATCTAAGAACTTCTCAAATACAAGATGCTCTTCAGAGAGACTACTGCACTTGAAATACATATCCATGAGAGCACTATTAACTACAAGGTTTTCACCAATTTGGCACTTGATCCACAGAGCATGGGCTTGCCTGCCCTGTTCTAGTATTCGTAAAGAAGCACAAGCCCTAAAGACTGATGCAAAGGTATAGTGGTCTGGCATCAAACTGTTTTTTCTCATCTTATGGAACATGCTTGAGCCCACCTCTTCCTAACCTTTCTGCACATAGCCTGCAATCATCGAATTCCATGAGACCAAGCTTTTGATTTGTAACTTACCAAAAAGAATATGGTCTAGATTAAGATCTCCTGCCTTTGCATATAAAATCAACAATTTAATATTTAGATATTCATTTGGAAAACATCCAATGATTATCATTTGCCAGTGGATTTTTTCCCCCAAACTCTAATCTTTCCTGAAGATACAGTCTTGCAAAAGAAGAGAATTTCTGATTCTACCTGAACCCCTGTGTGGCATAATATCCCAACAGCTTCCACTACTCTTCCTGAAAAACAGAGATCCTTCAAACTCTCATCCAACTGAAAGGCAATCTCTCTAGTATTGGCCTGAAAACGGGGAATGTCATCAACGATGATTTAATTTGACCACAAGAACAACTCTCCTTCCCTTGTCCTTTGACGAGCGCTGGGTATCTATATAATAATTAAGCTAATTCCACGACCAAATTTTACACTTATAAAATCCTAAATACCCCACACGCGATTTTTCGCAGGTATACAAGTCGTGATTGAGTATCGGGTATTAAGAGTTGAACCCACAGAAAGAATGTCAATTACTAATGGTTTTTGAACTCCTTTTGATGATTGAATTATTAAACTTATAAAAATATGAAAATTTCACCATTAAAATCTATAGAAATGCAATTTTTGACACTTAAACCATAAAATGCATAATTTCACTAGAAACTTTAACTATAAAAGTAAATAAGACATACCAAAACTAAATAATAAAACACACTAAAAACACATAAAATATGCATTTATCAAATTTCCTTACACTTAAACTATTACTTGTCCTCAAGCAATTAAGAATTACAATCCAATATTTGAAATTAAACATATGTGCAAAATTCAATTTTATTTTCTCAAAATAAGGTAAATAACCATTATGCAATCATTCAATTAAGTTCAAGTACTCATAATATCAAGTGAAAGAGAATATAATCACAATTTTAA